CTTGCGCCGCAGCGCCGCCGACAGGCGGCCCGCCCCTGCGAACAGCTCCAGGACGGCGGTCCGAGGGGAGCCCTTCTGACGCTTGAAGCAGTCATGAAGCTCACGGAGGAGGTGGCGACGAATTGCTTCCGTCGACAGGCTCTCCTCGTCAAGGCCTGCCAGCTCTAGTGCTCGCTCGAGGTCGGGTACAGCGCGGGCAGGCTCGCGCCATTCAGGAAGATGCTGGGCAGAGCGCCGTCCGTGGCCTGGCCGAACGATAGCTTACCTGTTGGCCGGCACGCTGCAGCTCGGTGATGATGCGCGCCTGCTTGGCGCAGCGTCTGAAGTTCTTGTCGGAGGCCCAGCCGCCGCGCTGCTGGGCGACGAGGGCGGCCCGTCTCTTCGCCAGGAGGTCGTCCGAAGCTCCCCCGTGGCGCGGCCCATGCGCTGGGACTGGGAAGTCATTCGGGCCCAGGGCGCAGGCCGCCTCCTCCATGCTCGGCCCGAGCACGGCCGGGGGGAAGGACCACGGGCGTCATCTCCCCGAAGGAGCCCGCCGCTTCTGCCCCAGGAGCGCCGGCACCAGGAAGACGAACGTGTCGATCACCGGTGAAGCCCCATGGCCCCGTCTTCCCGGGGCGCCCAAACTCGTTTGGATAGAGCAGCGGCGCGGCGAGCCCAGCGGCCCCGGTGCCCGCCGCGACGGGGGGGGCCACCTGCGTGGCCGTGAGGAGGTCGCACTCGGACGAGCGGAGGTAGCACGCGAAGCGCAGGGCCGTCGCGATCGTTTGCTCGATCTGGCCGCGCTGGAGCATCGCCCCCGCCAGCGCTGCCGCCAACGACCAGGGGGGCGGCATGCGCATCCTCCGCGGCGCGCACTTCCCCCACCCCGCCAGACTGCGGGAGGCTCGGGGCAGCGCCCGGTCGCCCCAGCGGCCGATGGGCGGGAGGAAGAACTTCAGCGCGGCAAGGAGGCGAGATGCATCGCCCCCGCTGTGGCCGTGGAAGAACAGGTAGTCGAAGTAGGCCACCACCATCGTGTCCAGCTGCTCCCAGCTGCTCCAGTCCAGGTGGAGCTGCGAGCGCCGCCCGATGAATGCGCCTGCCCGCCTCTGGTAGTCTGCCAGCGCATCCTTGCTGACAGACCGCTGCTCGAGGTAGGTGAGGCCCATCGGGGGGCTGCCCCGCAGCGCAAACCGCTGGCGCGCGGCAGCTGCTTGCGCGACAGGCGCTGTCAGGGTGCCCGCGCCAGCGGCCAGGAGGGCGGGCCGGGGGGGCGCTGGGCGCTCCGCTGGCAACGGAGGCTTGCTGAAGCGGGCCCGCTTCCCCCCTGCCGCTTTCCTGGCCGCGGAGGCGATCGCCCAGAGCAGCAGCCACCTCGGACTCGACCGCCTTGATGTATGGGGGGTTACGCGAGGGGCCGCCCGCGGGGTTGAGCTCGCCGGGGGCCCACCCGGCGACGACGTGCAAGCGGCAGGCGAGGGCGGGGGCGCAGATATCCCGCGAGACGCTGCGCTGCTGCGGCGACGACCCGCGGCCCTTGCCAATCGCGAGGGCGAGCGACGCGTCGTCGACCAGGCACGCGATCCTCCTCCAGAAGGCAATGGCCGACCTGAGCTGGCGGCGGAGAGCAGAGGCCAGCGCCAGCCCCTCGGCGCGGTAGATGTTCGAAAGAGTCCCTCCACGGAAAGAAGTGCGCGATAGCCCAGCCGTCGCCGACGAGAAGGTCGGGGTCGACCTCGCCAAAAGACTGGCCCCAGTCCTTGGCCCCCTCGCGCGGCAGCCTGCCAGGGTCGCGCAGCGCGGCGGCAGCGTCGGCCGCGCCCAAGGCGCGCCCTCGAGCGCGGGCGGGCTCCTCGAAGTGGCATCGCAATCTCTCCGCGGCGCGGCCGATCTGCGCGGCCACCTCTGGGTCGCATCGGCGGCGGCGCACCCCGCCGCCCCGGCCCGAAGCGTCGCTGGCGATGATCTCGTCGCGCCAGTCAGCGTCGGCGAAGACGACGAAGAGGGGGCAGCAGCGAGCGCATGTGCCAGAGCTCGCGGCACGCGGCGGGCCAGATGGGGCAGGGCCTCGTCCCTGGCGGCTTGGATGAAGGCGTAGACGGAGTCGAAGATGGCCAGGGGGCACCGCCTGAGTAGCATGACCCAGGCGCAGTGCCCAGCGACGATCTCGAGGATGGGGCCTCGCACGTCTGGGCGGCAGCTCCTCGATGACGCGGCGAAGCCGCCGGGCGCGGCGGGCGGAGACGCGCGCCGAGTGGTGGCGCCCGTCGAGGTCAAGGCCGACGAAGCTGGCGTTCCGCGCGGCGTCGACGCACTCGTGGACGACGCTGCCGAGGGAGGAGAGCTCGAGTCGAACTTGCTGGCCATCGCCTGCACCGTGGCGCGCTGCGAGGCAGCCACGAGGAAATTGTCGACGTAGGCCGCGCTGGCGGCAGGGAGCCCGGGCCCCGGCCCGACGCCGCAGCTGCGCTCTCGCACTTGCTGGGCGGGGGCGATGCGCGCTCGGGCGAGCGCAGTC